AATCTGGACCGGTGATTTTTCTGCTCATCGTCAACATTTTTCCCTCTCAAGAATCATTAGATATCATAGCAGAGCATATGGCCCGGGCAGCCACGTGTGGTTTTCTAATTGCGATAAAACCGTTGTGAGATACGCGCCAGTTGAGAACGTCACTTGAAGCGGAGTGGCGATGGGATCGGACTGCTAATCGTGAGCGTAGCGGCTGTGGGTCTCACGCTCACGTTCGGCTAACGGTACAGAAACATGTCATCGGCATTGATCCGCACTGTAAACCAATAGGGCGTCTACCGAGCGGGAATGCGCCATCAACACCGTTTACAGTCAAAGAGACATTTTTTTATTTTTCGAATGAAGAAAATACCATTTGCCGTTAAATATATCAGAAAAATAAAAACGCGAGCAAGACATTCTATGCAACTTAAAGTTTTACGGATCATTTCCAGGCAGTTGACCATTTTACTGCGGAAGCTATCTGCATTATAAATTTAGTTTAGTTTATAAATTACAACTCTTTCGGTTCATGTATTTCGTTTGCATGGAACACTTTCATGTGTTGGGTTTAGACCGAAATAATTCCTAATGCAATTAAGTATAAAAGTAGATATTAAGTATAATATCTAATTTCATCGCACTTTACAGCATTTTTTTGTTTAATTGACAGTTAATAAGACATATTATGAACAGTAAATATTATCTATGTGGTGAACTTGCTACCGAGTAAAAAATATATTTAATAAATTATTTCATCAAATCAAAATCAGCTGGCGGATTATTCATAAGGGTATCATAATTTGATAACGATCTGCGATGGTATGTCTAGCAGGAGCAACAATAGTACGCCAAAAAACCGTAATGGGTTATTTTATTTCCCCCAAAAAAATAGTGAAGTTACGTAAAGCATTATCATTAATTTCCGTTGTCTAATATTAAATAAACGAGCAAATGTGATTAACGAACTAAATGCATATGCATATTGTAACTGAGTTTGTCATTAAGCTGTCAGAGTTGTATTCCCTAAACAGCATACGTAGACCTTGTTCATTGAAAAAAGTTTATCCGCATTTCATTTTTTGTGTTCGTAGACTTGAACAAAATGTGTGAATCACGTCCTCCCGTCTACTTCGTCTTCACAGTTGCACTTGTTCGTAACACTCCCTAAGTATTCACTGCAAATCTTGCACTGCCACATCGTCATGTTCAACGTCACTTTGCACCACCAAATCACTTCAGTCCGTCAACAGTCCACAAGTCACATGCTGACATCACTATCATCAATCACTGAAAAAATCTTGATGCACACACAGCTTTGGCACCTTCTAAACTGCACAAACACTCTCTTATGCCATTCTCTTTCTCTTCCGGGCAACACCATATTCACTGGTGTCGCGTCACGCTAGTCGTGAATAATGCAGTGGCGCCATACGTGTTCACTAAGGCGGAAGACGCGCTTGCAGGAAACACTGAAGGGTTTTGCAGCAGGGCTCTTTGGCGCAAACACTGACAGTGGGGGGGGGGAGGTGACAGAGGAACATCCAGTGGTGAATTGGCTGTGACCTTGAGTCGCCGCCCCGGCGGAACAGATGACGCCGGGTCACCAGTCGGCTGCGCGTTTCGAACCGTCGCAAGCTGCGCCGACGGCCGTCCGCCTCCGGTAATTGGGAGTAAAGCGATAATAACCGGCTCAGCTCCGGTCAAGCGGGAATCCCAATTCGCGAGCGGCGGTGGGACGGTCGCCAGCAAAGGACTCGCAATCCACTTTGCTTTAATATTGAACTCCCCTCTGCCTCCAAAACTTCCAAGCTCTTAATGGACTTTTTAAAGGGACTCTTTGCAGATACGCGCTTTTCACGACTAAGATGTGTAATTTCCTTTCAGTTCACGCACGTTATGCGAAAATTTCCAGCTCTTATTTTGCAATAGTTTACAATGTTTTTGAAACGTTTAGCATGAGGAAACAGATGTTGCACAGCACCAATATCATTCATCTGAAGCAATTCGTGGAAAGATTTTTAGAAAAATAAAACACGTTCTCTAATCTATTGTACAGTTCAGCACAACTAACCTACTTTTATTTCAATTTACGGTATTATCATTAGCAGTTAACATCTCTTGATTCGAATTATTACATTAACAAATAATACTTAAATATTGAAGGTATTTGGATAATATAATTGCAGTTGTAAGCATTTTATTACCGGGAAGAAAAATTTTTTTGGTTTGTGAATGAAACTCGGTTTAATGAATTCAATTGATCCAGAGAGCTGTGAATGTGACATTTGGCCGACACCATTAAGATTGTAGAATATTATTACCCGAAATCCCTCTCTATAAATTCGCTTTACTTAGAGAAACACTCCGCCGCTCCCGAAAGAGGAGGTACCGGGTTAATGCAATTAATAAAAGACGGGAGCGATCGCGTGAC